GTTACCATGCACACATTAGGGTACACTCACTGGCTAGTGAGATGCAAAGAAATAGAAAATCTGAATGTCTAAACATACATTTGTCCAGTAATCTTAATTGCTTTCAAAGCAAGGAAAGAACAAAATGAAAGCAACTGATGAAACATGATCAGGTATGTTTAAATTAATTTTGCATTTGGAAAGATAAATAATATCTTAATTATAATTCAGTCTATTAAATTTCTGTGAGTTGAAAGTTAGCTAATGAGCTATGATTGGTAAAGACAGGGATACACTGAATCAGAAGAGATGCCTATACAAACAACTGCTTTTTGAAAATCTTTACCTGGGATCTAAAAAGGACAGCATATATCACATGAATGAAATCACTAAATAATAGAAATCAATGTAGAGAAGCACAGCAGAAATCATAACCTTATTAGAGAACAATTTTTTAAAAATGAGACCTTGCCTAATTGTAAGTCCTGTGGTCTGTAATTTTAGAAAAGTGTTGACATCTGTTGGTGAACAGGGAGCTGAGCAGTGCAGAAATCCCCGGGAAATGCAGACACGGAGCCCTTTTCCAGTCTGGCACTGGAAGGGTTGAGTCTCATTTGCATGCCTGCTGGGTACCAGCTCAGATCACTCCCCTGTAAATGCTGCTCGGTTTGAAAGCAGGGGATGAGTGAACACCGAAAAGGAGCAGAAAAGAGATCTGATGCTCTTTGTGTGTGGGCCGTGCCAATCTCCTGCAGTCCGCAGTGACGCGGTCATGAATATGGAAAAACAACAACTTTATCCCTCCCAAACCAAAGGGATGGCACGGAATTTGCTTTGCTATATCCTGCTGGGGAGCAAGGAAAAGCAGGGATACTGGGACAGCTCAGTGAAGCTGAGACTGAAGAACAGGCAGGGCATAACTCAGGTGGCAGGCAGCTTAATAATCTATCACTAACATGTCACACAAAATACGAGTGTAGGGTCAGAAGGTTTGTGCAGACATCAATGGCAGCACTGCTTATTGCAATAAAAAAATGTGCAATTCCATAAACTGAGCATTTCTTCCTCCTTATCACCATTATTTTTTACAATGCAGCACACAGAAATAATTAAAGCTGTCCCTGATCTATTAAGTCACATTCTTTTCCAGCTCAGTATAAGTGTGGCACACCAACAGATGAGTATCTGGGGTTTCCTTGGAATTTCAACAGTAACCAAACAATCCCTCAGAAGAAATGCATGCCAAATTAAAAAAAAAAAAAACAAAAGAAAAAAACCGAACAAGTTTACTTAACCCTTTGTTACAATCCATCAATGTTTTAAGCCTTACTTCAAATAACATGGATGCACAAATTATCGCCGTTGCCCATGGTGCATGAGCTATCTTATTTGTACTAGTTTCCCCAGGAAGGTCTTCACGCTCAAACTATGCTGGCTTGGATTTTGTGTTCCCTGGCAGCTGGCATCAGGGTGTCCCTGCTGATGTCTGGCTGTCTACACCTGCCAGCTGGTGGCCAGTGCCAGTCAACACAGAATGTTGTGGCTTCTGCCTTTATTCCTTTCTTACACCCTGTGCTCAAGCCCTTCCAAGGCAATCAAGCATGAACCCAGTGCTCTTGATGAGTGTGGCTTCAGTTCCTGTTCCAATCACAAAGTAATAGTCAGGGTCATTCCTTTTTTGGTTACTCTGCTGTTATCTCGAAATGTCATCTTTGAGCTTGTACAGACACGCATTCCTCACTTCTTTTCCCAGTTCCGGGAGTCTGCTGTGCCAGCATGATCAACACAGCTGGGCAAGTGAACTTCCAGGCCACAGTGTGACACGGTGGGGCTTTGGTCAACCCACACAGTGCAGTAACTCCAGCCATGGCACACCTGGGAAGCCTTTGACAGGTCCTCCCTGATGGGCTTTAGGCCACCTTGAATCCTGCCCTTGTTGCCTGTGTAGGTCCTGTTGAGAAAGCTGTGTTTGAGCTGTGCTGCCCTATGCCATCTTTTATGTTTTAAGTTCAAGCCTTGTTATCTTTAGGAAGTCTTTATATAAACCTATTCCTGAATCTAGCATGCTGCTGACCAGCTTTAGGTTGGCTTCATGTCCTGGGAGGCTGTTGCAGACTCCTGCAGGAATTTGTTGTTTTTTCAGGACATTTTACTGCTCAGAATGTTCTCTGCTGCCTTAGGCAATCATCTCACTTGTCTTCTGCTCTGCCTGAAAGCTATAGCCAAAATTTTCATTTTCTCTTCACCTAAGCATACCCATCAAGTTCTGAAATCTTTCCTTTGTGCCTGCAATGTATCTTCTGAGAACAGGCCTGACATAAGGTGCCTTTACAATGCTGTGGCACTATAAGCAAGCCTTAAAAGAGGCTTAAAAAAGAGACCATTCCAACCTGCCATCCCTCCATCCACACCCTACTGGAAGCATTATAGCATTGACATCACCCCAGACACTCACTGTTGTTTTGCTGCTGTCTCTGTCCCCTTTTCCATAAAGCCCTGCACATACAGCCCTTCAGGGAGACCTTCAAACAGTGTCTAAACAGTCTTTGAAAAGTTACTAAGGAACATAACTTGCAGTACTTGGTTTACATTACTTATGTATAAGAGCTTGCACTGCTATGTTGAAAACTAGCGGATGGCTGGAAATATGAGCTGTATAACATCTGTAAATGATCTCCATTAAAAGATCTCCCTTCCTTTCTACTACTTATCAATTTATTAAACTTGGTTCTAGCATGTTTGGCAGTTGTAGGTAATTTGGCACCAATTACACATACTGGAATTTTCAAATGCTGGATTATGAAATAGAAAACACGGAGCTGAAAAAGTACCAGTACCAAAGAGAAACTTCATTGCCAAACTTAAGACAGAATGGCCTGCAAAGATTTATTTTAAACCAACATATAGTTGGTTTATTATTAGATAAAAAAAATATGTCAGATGCATTGAGAGCGTAGGAGAACTTGGGTGCTAATGCTGACTAGAGATTGTAAATTTAGCACCCTACAGAATCATTAGATGAAGAATTATCTCCTGTGTTTTTACTGTGCCTCCCCCAACAAGACCTGCTAGACCTGTGGGACCAGAACCAACTTAGATGCTTCTCTCCATGCTCCTCAGTGTATCCAGGTCTAGAGTCTATGCACAGAACCAGCTTTGTACCTCCTACAGATCTAATCTGCAATCAAGTAACTCATCCATGTTAAATTGCAGATTGTGAGCAGCTAAAAGTTTCTAGACCTAAATGCATGCAGAAACCACAATCCTCTCCTTCTCACTCAGATTGAAAGTAAACTAAAGTGTACGTTTGCGGGTGGGGGGTGGGGGTGGGTGAAAATCATATTCTTTCTCAGGGTAAACCTGCAGATTTTCCAGTTTACACCCAGCTGCCGGAGTAACTACAGGTTCTTTCAGTCTCTTTTGCTACTCCTTTCCTTTGGCACCGGCAGAGCCCACCTCAGGCTGCCGGAGTCGCTGTGCACCAGGCACAGACACAGCTTTATGTTGGCACAGAGCAGGTCAAACGCAGCCCGCACCCTCCTCACAGAGCAAGCCCCCACGCCAGGGATTTGCATTGGGAGCGCCGCGAGACGGCAATGCGGCTTGGAAAGGCAGCTCCGGGACAGCGCGCCCGCCGGCGAGCCTCCTGTCTCCTCCCGTCACCGCTTCTGATGCTGAAGGCTCAGCAGCGCGCTGCACGCCAGCATCAGGCGCGGCGGGCGCAGCACAGGCGGGCGGCTCCGCGCCGCTCCCGCCGCCCGGCGCGGCTCCGCAGCCGCGGGCGGAGCTGCGCTGCGCCGGCCCCGCGCCCAGCACCCACCGGGAAAGCAGAGGGAGCGGGCGGGAAGGAAAGTTCAAGAACAGCCGGGAAAGGTGCCGCCCTATGCGAGGAGTGGGCAAAGCTGCAGCTGCGCGGCCAGGGGGCGGGTGTTCAAGGCTTGCAGTGGAAGGTTGAGCGTATTTAATGCTTTTGCTTTATTTATAGTGAAGGTGATGGGTAAGGTACTAGCCTGATTTTTATATTACTGGTTTTTGCAAATAATTTGGCTGAATGTACCATACCATCCGGGAGGCACGTACAGATGCTGAGTAGCCCAGAATTAGGTCTGCTAATTCCTGCATATTTGTACTAATGTTCTTCATATTAAGTGGGAGCACCTTCTACTTTATGCATCCCTAAATACTCCAGCAGCAGGTTGATGCACAAATCAGTGCTACTTTACCTGGATGGATACAGACGGGCAAGCCACGTACCTTACACAGTGTCCTAAGCATGTCTTTACCTTTCCTGGTCCTGGGTGACAAAATGCTTTCAAGCACACGGCTCCTAATAGGACCGCAACCAAGGGATGCCCGAACTCCGGCTTGCTGTCGGCACGGTGCTTCTGTGCCCACTTGTACTACCTTTCCTGGGACCACCTAGTGCCGCATGGTGGGCAAAAAGAATATGAGCCATGCATCTGCACAGGGTTGCTAACACTGAGGAGTCAGACGCATTACTTTTATTGTAACTACAGCTTTCAATAAAGCTTCCCCAGGGCAGGACGCAGCAGTTCCTCTTCGCTGCTGGGCCGGGCTCTCCTGCATCACCAGCGAGAGGTGGGCGCACCTGCACGGCAAGCTCAGCGCTGTAAAAGCGAGCCCTCCCTCCTGCCATAAATAAACTCTTCTTCCTCCTCCTCTTCTGCGCCCCCATCACCCCGGAGTATAACGCGGCCAGGCGGCTGCCTTACCCCCGCCGTCCTCTCCACCCCCGGGGGCGACGCACACTTTCACCCCGGCCCCTGGCACAGCCGGGCGCTTTGCGGCAGCGGCTCTAGAAACTTCTCGGTCCCTCCCTCTCCCCTCCCCTTCCTCCTCCTCGCCGAGCCGGGGCCGGCGCTGCGGCGAGAGCAGCAGGGAAGGAGGCGTGCGGCGCCCGCCCCCACCCGCGCTGTCCAGAGCCGGAGGCGCAGCCAGGCGCTATCCCAGGCGCTGTTATCCCAGGCGCTGTTATCCCGGGCGCTGTTATCCCAGCCGCAGCAGCGAGCCCGCGAGGCGGCCCTTCTCTGCGCAGAGGTGGCAGCGGCAGGCGGCATGACGGCGGAGGAGATGAAAGCGGACGGGGCTCCCTTGGAAGGGGTGGACATCACTCCCAAGCAGGATGAGGGCGTCCTCAAGGTACTGGGCGGCTGTTCCCCATCCCCACCCTTGGCGCCAGCTCGGAGGGGTCCCCGCGCCGGCGGGGAGCGGAGCCATTCCTCCTGGCCTGCGAGCGAGGGCCCCCCGGGCGTACCGGGCCCATTGTGTGCCCCGCGGGGAAGGGGACGAGGCGGTCCCCGCGCATCCAGGCAGAGCTGGCGCAGCGCGGGCGATTAAACAACAGCGGCGGAGGGCGGGAGCGCGCCCCGGCTGCGCAAGCGCTTCCCGGCTGGCTGCGGGGGCTCCCCGCTCCTCCCGGGGCCAGCCGGGGCCCGGGCTGCCCGCCGGGAGAGCTCGGGGCCGCGGGGGAGCTGTGCGGCGAAAAGGCGATTCTCCCTGCGTTTGGGCTTTCCTTTGCCTTTAGGGGAAGATGCGGGAGGGGGAGGCGGGCCGGGCTCTCCGTCCGGCTCGCAGCGCGCGTTGTGAGGGTCCGGGTCCATCCCCGCCCCCCCAGCACGTGTCCGCGGCTGGGAATTAAAGATGGAGCCCCGGCAGGGCACGTGCGCCCGGTGCCCGTCCCCGCCGGGCCCGGCTGTGCCTCCCCGCAGCCCCCGGGCCCGGGGAGCGCGGCCCGGCCGCCCCTCGGAGCCCCCGGGCCCGGGGAGCGCGGCCCGGCCGCCCCTCGGTGCCGCCGGGCCCGGGGAGCGCGGCCCGGCCGCCCCTCGGAGCCGCCCGGCGCGGTCCCCGGCGCGGCCGCGGCGGAGCGGCTGCTCTCCTTTGTACTGGGGAGGCTGGCGATAAGGGCAGCGGGATTTATACCGTGAGGGGGAGTTGCGCCAACTTCCTCTGTCAGACGTTGCCTATTTCCATATCTCTAGAAACTTCCTTGGGCTCTGCTACAAACTTTAGCGATTATTTAGAAGCGTTATTCAACCGCAGTAAAATTTCGGAGTTACAGTGGTCAGGAGGAGAAAAGGTCACTACAGCAAAGGCGAAATCCTGGGTTTAACCTTTAGAGCCTTCTAAATTCTGGGTTCGTTAAGGAGGCGCTGTCTCCCGTTCAGGAGGGATATCAGGGAGCAGATTAAAGATACTGGCTGCTGTATTTCTGCTTTTCCATGTTTCCTGCTAGCATATTTAGGTGAGACTTTTTGGGTTTTGCACATCGTAAAGTATCAGGTCAGAGTTCTCATCTGCATGGCTGCCCGGGTCTCCCGCAGCCCAGATCCCTTGAGCATGGTAGAAGGGCACTGCAGGTCTGCCTGATTCATGCAGTACCTATTTTGTGATGATGGAAAAGCAGCAGGTGTTCTTTTGCGTTGTTTGGTTGTTTATTTTAAGAGGACAGGAGTATAAAACGCTAGCAAGCGAAGTGAGGTTGTGAAAATCACAAAAATTGAGATTGTGACATGATAAGTAAAATACCATAGAGGTCACAAAGTCCAGCCTTCATGGATTTTATTTTTACATAATTGTTGGAGTGCAAAATGCAGCTATTGAAATCAAGTGTCTAGCTCTGAACTAACCTGCACTAGTTTTGTACTGGCATTGTTGCAGTGATTCCAGAAATGTGTTTATTTGCTCATTAGCTGTATATCAGGATAGTATCCACAGTTTTTTATCTGATATTGCTGAATATACTTTCACAATTCCTAGAATAAGTAAATAAGTTTGGAAATAAACCATTTGAAATGCCATATGAACTGAAAAATCCTGTTTCTCCATCTGAAAAGGAAATCTAAACCTTACAGAAAATAGAATTGCCATATCCAGAAGTAAAACTTCAGTCTCTTAAAAATTAAACAAGTGCAAAAGAATACACTGTGTAAATAATGAAAATGAGATATTTGTTACTGTAGAATGTCTTGCTATGACATTACAATAATATGGCATTCAGTAAATTTTAGTAAATTTCCATTAAATGCAGTTAGTTTTTCAAAATCGCAGCAGACTGTCTGCTTTCAAGTGCTAGTTTGCATCTGCTTTATGCAGATTTGCAAATTGCATCTGCTAAGCAGGTTGCTTACCTGATTCATGTGTTTTTCTCATACTTCTCTATTTCCTTATCTCTGTGAGAGTGGTTGCTTGAACTTTTGCCTTCCTTGGGGAGACATCAATAGATTAGTTTTGTAATGCTAATAACTGCCGTGGTGCTGGTTCGGCGTTAAAGGGATGGTGTGCTGTGTGAGGTCAGGCATTCCTTTTTTCCTTAGAAAACAAGCGGCCAGGATTTTTTCTAGCTTTTTTTTGTGGGGGTACTTCTTGTTTTATGCTTTCAGTGAGGTGATTTCAGCTTGTTAGTCTGACAGAAGCTGTCGGTGGTGAAGCTTTGGTTTTGGATGGAGGGTCCTGGCATTTCACTTGGATAGTCAGTCGCAGGGATGGTGGGAGGTCAGGTGGGAGATTGACAGTGGTGGGTTGCAGGAAGCTGAAATTTGTGAAGGAGACTCCCAAAAGTCTGCCTCATTCAGTGAAAAACATGATTGATACAGAAACATGACATTTAAAGGAGGGATGTTTATCTTCTATAACAGAATGTTTTCCAGGTCTCCATGATGCAAGCAAATAGGGTCCTCCATTGGTCCCCTTTTGCCTGGCTAAGATAATGCAGAACGTTGGCTTAGGGCTAGCTGGTTTCAATCTATATTGGGAAAAATTGAAAATTTAAATCTGAACTTGAGGAATCCTGTTATGGGCAAGGCCTCACATCCTTCCTTGCCTGTGAGATATGTTACTATTATTCTCTAATTTTATATAAGCTTCAAGTGAACACCAGAGAGATTGTCCCCACTTTCTGAATAGTCTAGGTTTATTTAATACTTGTTTTGCTGGGCAGGCTGGGGAGCCCCCTGAGAAGAAAATTAAATCCTTGCAGCTGTGTGTGAGACGAGGTTGCTGGCTATCCATGTCAGAATTGTGAGGAGACAAAATTATTGTGATAAATAATTTTCAGGTGTTACTCTGTAGGCTGATAGAACTAACATGGTTGGGGTGAGACACTGCTAACGTTCGTTATAATTTCAGATTGCATGTTGGAATAGATTTTTCATGGAAAGAACTACCTCTTTCTCTTGTTTAAGTGCTTTGCCTGGAGCACTGAACTCGGGTGTCATGATAGAGAGGTGATGAGGGAAGTACTTGAATAAAGAAGAAAAAATCCTGCCTAATGCAGAGATCTGTAAGCTGGTGACAACTGTTGCCTGTTAAATTCTTGTATCACAGCACAGCCATCTTGAGGTTCTGCATTTGCAGCACTGCTAATCTGCAGAAAGAACAGCCAGTCCATTTCCAGGTGACTGAAAGAAACCTGCAAATCCTTTGTCTGCTAAGGATGATAACATGCATATCTAGGTATTTGTGATTCATGTCCATTGGACAGACAGACTTGATTTCTGTGATGTTAATGCTAATTGCTGTTTTCCTCAGGTTGTCAAGAGAGAAGGCAGTGGGACAGAGTCTCCGATGATAGGTGATAAGGTGACCGTCCATTACACGGGGTGGCTTCTCGATGGCACAAAATTTGACTCCAGTCTGGACAGAAAAGACAAATTCTCATTTGACTTGGGGAAAGGTAATACCTTGTGTTTGGTGCTGATCAGTTTTGGTAATAATTGAGACAGGATTCCCTTGTGTGGCTTCTTTGCTTTTCAAAATTGCCACTTAAACTTCTTTTCAGAGTTTATTCTCTTAGAATGGTCCTGTCAGAATGTGAGATTTTTCTGAATGGGAGAACTGTGTAGCCCCTTAAACAGCCTGCTGAAGAATTCACAAGCCTCAGACAAAGCACTCCAGGGGAGCAAATCTGTCCTGAAATGTAGAGATAAATGGTAGTTAAATATCCTGAATATGCATTTTTTTTCCGGGGGGAGGGGGAGAGGGGGACAGACCTCGTTTCAGGAGTGCTTAATTGTGACCAGATACTGGGACAGGGTACGCAGAGACAGCTGTCAGCTGTCTTATGATGAAACATACTCTCTTTTCTCAAAATTCTCAAGTTAACCCAAATATGAGTCTTTGAGCAGTGCATCTCTTCATTATCAAAATCTTTCGTTTTCTGAAAATTTGAGCATCATTGTTCCTGCAAATCTTATTACTTGATCTTGTATTCTTCCCTGGAAGTTCTTTACCTTCTACTTTTAAAAAATAGGTAATACCTCCTTTTAAAAAAGAGGTAAATTAATTGTACTGCAATTTGAGATGATATTAAGTGTACCTATTAATACAAGACTAATAGAAAGTGTGCTTGATGAGTCAAGAGGAGCAGCATTTAGGACAGCTTGAGTAAGAGGGGATTTTTTTAATACAGCTTTTCTCCCCTTTCAAAGGAGTGCTACTAATTTCTTTTCCCTTTCTGTTACAAATTTGTGTAACTTTTAGTTACCACTGGTGCTGTTCTTTGCCAGCTGATAAAGTATGAACAGAAAAGGCTGTTGGTTTGGATTGTTTTCAAAACAGGAGCAGGCAATCTCTCACCCTAAGGCCTTCCTCTCAGAAGAGTTTATTGTTACTTCCTCACACTTGGGACTGTGCCAAGCACTTCAATTGGTGTCTGTGTTCTATTATTCTATGAAAAGAGTTGTTACACCTGGATTGAAGAAATGTTTGGGCCAAATTTGGGTCCCTGGGAAACTTCAGAATTTGATTAGGCTTAAAACTGATATACATAAGTGAGAATGAGCACAAGTTCTCCAGTATTTCTGCTGCCATATCTTTTGTATACTAAAAGTGATGATGCTCAGTTTCAGCTGATCATGCCTTTCATGTGTGATTGGTGTTTGACTTGTACAGGTGAGGTGATCAAAGCATGGGACATTGCTGTGGCCACTATGAAGATTGGTGAAATCTGTCGGATTACGTGTAAACCAGAATATGCCTATGGCACAGCTGGGAGCCCCCCAAAGATACCTCCCAATGCTACACTGATTTTTGAGGTAAGTGAGGGATGGTCACTAAAACTGTATGCTTGAAAAAATGTGTGATGCAACTTCCTTTCAAAACAGGCTTGTTACATTTTCTAAGGAAAATAATATGGCTCGTTTTGGGTAGTGTGGACAAAATTTTAATCTGGCTGCCACTGTTCTGTAATGGTTTGGGTTCCGTTCTCTTTGAGTTTTTAAAACACTTGAATGATCTTCAGTGTTCAGTTGTAATTCTGCAGTTACTGAGTGATTTGCAGCAGTAAAGTGCAGGCTGGGAGGGCAGACTATTTCAGTGATAGACTGAAGTAGTTGAAATCTTTAATCCACTTCATAACATTCAGAGTAATGATATATTAAATGTTGTGAGGTTTTCAACAACGGGAAGAGCAATTAATGCCCTCAATAATACGTTTTTTATACATACTTGTGTTTTCTTTACAACATTAACATTACCTCTTACGAGCTCTTTCAGGGAGAAAAGAGGTAATTGCCCCATGTAAACTGCTGGAATACAATATTTAAACAGCCCTGCAATTACAAACTCTTTTCTGTAGAGCTGAGCTTTTCAGTCAGCCTTAAAGCACCATAAAACCAGTTTGGATTCAGGTTGCTGGTTCATTACCAAAGTCTCTGTGCATCCAGGCTACACTGATCAATCTTGTCCCCTTAGATGAAGTCCTGTGCACTCAGTGCCTGTGACAGACTCAGCAGTCTTGAGTTTGGCAGCTGGGTAACCCAGTTTGACAGCTCACATGGCCAGCTGCTCTCCTGGAGATGAGCTGCATGTCTTGGTAAGCATGGAGCCAGTTATCCTTGGTGTCTCTGAGCCTCACCAGGAGAGGAGAGAATTTATTTCCTACTGATCTCAAAAGTAATTTTCCTATACATCTTCCCCCTCCTTTCCCAAAGGGGGTGGAAACAGCAGCTGTCTCTTGTGTATTATTTCAGAAGTGAGAATGGTTACTCAGAATGCTGAGACTTGTATTTGATTTTTCCATGTAGGGTGACATAAAAGCTGTTTCTGGAGCATACCCTGACAGTCTCAACAGGGATTGGAGGGAATGTATTTTTCTTACTGCTGAAATAGTTCAATTTGCTAACAATTGCTTCAAAATAAATTCTACCTGAGAGAAGGCAAACTCTTTTCTTAAGTATAATCTAAAAAATTTCTTTTCCCTAAAGCACTTAATCAGTGGAATGGAATCCTACAATTGAGGGCATAAGGAAAGCTTTAAAACTGATGAATCTCTGAGACTGAATGTTTTATATAATATCTGAAAAAGGTGAAAATAACTCATGGAGTTATTCAAAGACCGAAAGTCTGTTTTGGTTTTATTGGAAACAATGAGCATCTGTTACGGGTAAATTATACATAGAGTCATTTAGGTTGGAAAAAAAAACCTTCAAGACCATTGAGTCCAAGCATAAATCTGACACTGCCAAGTCCATCACTAAACCATTAACCCAACCCAGTGCCACATCTACACCTAAATACCTCCGGGGAGGGTACTCACCCACTTCCCTGGGCAGCCTGTTCTAATGCTAATATCCATTCTAAACCTCCCCTGGTGCACCTTGAGGCCATTTTTTATTGTTCTGTGACTTTTTACTTGAAAGAAGGGACTGACCCCATCTGGCAACAGCTTCCTTTCAGGGAGTTGTAGAAAGTGAGAAGGTTCCCCCCAAGACCCCTCTTTCTCTCCAGGCTAAACACCTCCAGCTTTCTCAAGCAACTCCTCATGGGACTTGTGCTCCAGACCCTTCACCAGCTCTGTTGCCCTTCTCTGCACATACTCCAGTCCTTCCTGAACTGAAAGGCCCAAAATTGAAGACAGGATTTTAGGTGTCTAGTACAGGGTGACCATCACTGCCCTGATCCTCTTGGCCACACCATTGCTAATACAGGCCAGGTGCCATTTGCCTTAACATAATTGGATATTGAATTTGCTTTGCATTTGGATAGTATCTTTGCATTTCTTGTTAATTTTTTTCACCATGGACTTCTGAGTAATAGGATGAAAGATACATTCTGTGTGGAAGGATTAAAAAAATATTGCTAGCAGGTAGTGCTCACTAAGGAATGGTAGCTTACTCATTTTGAGTACATCAGAATTAATACCATTATTTCTGAAAAATAGTATCATGTAGAGCTGTTCATAAACAGCATTTTCTTACATAGAAATCTGACATTATTCATGGCTTAGTTGTATTGGATCAAACTACACATGTTGGAGTGCTGCGTGCTTCTTTGCAAGTGATACCAGGTGTAATGAGGGCTGAGCTGATGATTGAAATGCAAGCTAAAAGCTCCAGGCCTTCTATCGTGGCAGCACAATGGGGCATTCTTAGGGGCTTAGCACTACTACAGAGGATGCATGTGGACAGCAGAAAGCAGAGAAGCTTTCATTGTCCTTCAAGAAGAGGTAATACCTAACATTGGGATAACTAAAAGCATGAACTGCAAGATGGGATTTGGTCCATCAGGCTACTCCTGAGTCAGTCCCATGCGGTCACCCAGGTTATTCACTTTGCACTGGACTTTCCTTGATGCTGCTAGTCTGGCCCCCTCCATTTTCTGGGTATGCATTTAGGTAAAAGAAGTGTTTCATTCATGAGTCGTGATATCCCCTAATGCCTGGCCGAGCAGTTATGTTGAAGGGAAGAGCGGGGAGAAAGAAAAGGACCAAAGCTGCCTGTGATGATTTTGTGCTTCCCTAACAAAATAGCCTGGGGCTCACTGGCTGCAGCAAGTCAGCAGTGCTGGGTGTGTCTTGATCCGGGGTGTGGGTTGAAACTTAAAAAACTTTCCCAATTTTATTAGGTTAAAGTAGTTTCTGGCTAGTATGACTTCCAAGCAGCTAAAGTCTCTTGAAGTTTCCACTCTTTTAGTTTTACCTAGGATTACTTTTTATTACTTAACACAGTCTCAGCAGGGTTCTTTTGCAAGTGCCTATCCCCATTTCAAAATTTTGTACAGGTTGCTTTACAAAAGACACTCTAGAACTTACATGAAGATATTTTGTACTTGTGTCATCACATCAGCATTTCTTTATGACAAGTAATAATGCATGTCTTAGAATTTGGAAGGTCTTTTCTTTTTTGATCTGGTGGTGGTTTTCATTTTTTTTTTCCCTCGTGATTACTTTTACTGAGCAATATAAACAGCTAGATTATTTCATAGAATAGTATTGTTTAGGCTGGGGGGAATAAAAGGGGGAGGTACACACCTGTAATGTCATCAGTAGGATGTTCAGGAATTATTATTTTTCAGACTGAAAAGAAAGACCAGAATATTATTTGTTACTAGGTATCAATTAAAATAAAAAGTGGAAGTACTGGTGGATATTAAGTTCCTTTTGCATTCCAGTTGTCTTAAGTTCAGTGTCAGGATCCTCCACAGCATTTTTTTTGAAGGGGTAGTCTAAATAATGCTGATTATAATGGCTTGCTTTTTTGTGCTTAGGAATAGTTTTCACTATTGTTTTACTCAAAAATTTGATATGATTTTTTTTCTTCACCTCATAGCAGCAATGACAAATACCTTTTGTAACTAGACTGTTTTTCTATGTCATCATGGTACTCCCACTTGAAACTGTGATTTACATTTACTTGTGAGAGCATGGGAAGATTCAGAGATTCAGACTGGATGCCTGTCTCCTACATTAAACACTAGCTCTTAAAAATCCTGAACAGTTTGTTGCAGTAGTGAGTTTAAAGTTTTGAAGATTTCTGGAGAATAAGTGCTGTGAGTTACTAAATTGGTCTAATGAGAATAAATGCAAGGCTTTTCTTCCCTCCACAGATTGAACTTTTTGAGTTCAAGGGGGAGGACCTCACTGATGAAGAAGATGGTGGCATCATCCGAAGAATCCGTAAAAAAGGGGAGGGCTACTCCAGGCCCAATGAGGATGCACTTGTAGAGAGTAAGTGTGTTGTTACACAAATAGTGAATAGATTTGCAGTGAGGGATGGCAGAACCTTTTCACAATCTACAGCTGCATGTCCTGAGGGAGAGGAATATGTGGCTTCTCTTTTCTGTACCAAGTAACTTAACAACCTAGAGTAAGCTTTCCTTCTCCTGTTTCTAGCAAGGTTTACATTTTCCAGCAGCAACTGTGTTTTCTGGTGATAGTGAATCTGTTGAAATGCTTATCTGATCACAAAAGGTGATTGGGTCTCATAAAGTATTTCCATGTGCTGTGGAACAAAAGGGGAAGTCATTCTGGCACTTGTTAGAGTGGCAAGAACAAATACTTAAAATGAACAACAAAAAAGGGGCTGTTAAACTGAAAGCAGAAATTCTGTTTGCTGCCAGTTGCTGCCATGCCATAAGTAGCTGCTAAAGGATAAAAGACTCTTCAGAAGGAGGTTTTGGCACTTGGGTGTGTGCTGCCTACCTGTATAGAACTCCCTGTGCACTCCTGGGTACCTGCCCACTGCCATTCATAGATAGCTTCTGATTTCTCTCTCTGTTGTTCTGGTTTTTGTTACCAGTCCAGTTTGAAGGCCGACACGGAGATCGTGTTTTTGACAAGCGGGAATTGCGGTTTGAGATAGGAGAAGGTGAAAACTTCGATATTCCTCATGGTCTGGAGAAAGCAATTCAAAAAATGGAGAAATCAGAGGAATCTGTGTTCTATCTCAAGCCTAGGTATGCTGTTTCTGGTGTTTGATACAGGAAGGGCTTATACTTACATTATATTATATGTAATCATCTGGCAAGAAAGAAATACTTTGTTTTAATGCCTTTCAGCTTTTTTGGGTGCTGTGGTAAAAACTTGAATCAATCCCAAAAACTGATGCACGAGAAGTATCGTGCTTTGCCACTTCATAGTGAAGCAGTAGCAGTCCAGAAAAATTTTACTTCAATCTCTGTAATGTTTACTTCTGAATATTAAAAAAAAAAAAGTTGTTCTCTAACTTAGATTTTTGTGATTCTTCTTCATGACTGATTACTGTAAAACAGTCCATATGTAGACTTGGATATAGGCAGAATTTTCTCTTTACAGTGAGAACATATCTGAAACAAGTGGAGTTGCACAGATTGTTTTCATTAAACTTTAATTTATTTCAGTTATTATTGAGATTTTTTTTTTAACTGTAACTCAGCCTGATGGGAGCAGAAAAGGAAAGCAATCTGATCTAGAGGGTTTTCCTGCTAATATGCAGCTCTTACTGGAGTTGCATTGCAGTACCTTTCTGTAGGCATTTCCTGTTTACCAGCTGGTTAGCAGTGTGTTAAGTGTACAGCTGCTCATCTAATCCTGGTATTTATTCTCTTTGAATAAGAATACTTTTACTCTTTGAATAAGAATACTGCTTTTCTAAGAATAGACCTAAAATACAGGTGCTCTGAATGCAACACTCAGTTTCAGACATGAATATTAAATATGATAGTTGTAATTTGAAAGTTGGTTGTTTTGGTTTGCCTTTTTTTTGGTGAAAGGATTACTTACTTTTCCTTAAAGTAAACTAAAACACTAATAAAAGAGTAGGAGCTGCTGAAAGATGAATGAAGTCAATACTAGGTTTCTCTTACTTTCTTCTACCTTGTATTTGCTAATTTTAGAGTTGTACATAGAATTCTTCAAATCTTTGTCTTGTAATAATAATTTATGTGCATCCCAAATTTGCATGAGGTTTTTGTCTCCATCTTCCTATATAGCAAATACAGCTGGATGGATAGTTTTGAACTCTCTTCTTTATAATTTTAGTTTCTCCTTTCCCACCCCCATTTTACAGCTATGGTTTTGGAAGTGCTGGGAATGAGAAATTTAAGATCCCTCCAGATGCAGAGCTGCAGTATGAAGTGAAACTCAAAAGCTTTGAAAAGGTGAGAGCAAGAGATGAAATTCTGAAGAGGTCTGTGACTGGGGGAAGAAGTGGGAGTGCAGCTTAAGCAATGACAATGGAATCCTTGAATGGTGATGTGGAACAAGGAGGCCACTGTTGCCAGAGATGATGGTGACATGCTGGGAGCTCTTGGCTGAAATGGTCCTTATTTTTCCTGTATCCGTGTCACCATCTCTCATGCTCTGGGTTGGTTTCCATTAGCAGGGCAAAGCTCTTCAGCCATACTGTTAGTAGGAAACAATATAGCTACTTGATTTCCCTGGAAGTTGTATTGAAGTTGACTGGAACTGTTCCTGTTTGGGTAGGCTAAGGAGTCCTGGGAAATGAACACGGATGAGAAGCTGGAACAGAGCTGCATTGTGAAGGAGAGAGGCACTCAGTACTTCAAGGTAAGATACAGTCTCCAAGTAATAATAGCATTTCTTAGTCCATGTCATGAATTGATAATGATGTTTACAGCTTCTGTGATTTCTGAGTGGTGTTCATGGTATTATGTGAGATTTTATAAGGAGAACTGGAGGACAATGTTTTTTTTTTAAAAAAAGAAACTTGGTTGGATTATCCAAAGAACTAACTCAGCAGTGAGCTTTCTGTTAGAGCTGTTTGCTATATCTGTAGATTACACTGTGGGGTGCACAGTATTTCAGTTCCTGCTGTGGGATAGTGCTACGAGTCAACAAAATTCATTTGGGTAGACATGTGTTGAGAAGCTGTTTAAAACAATTTCAGTAGTTAAAGGAAGAGTTTCCTATTATCTTTGTATTGTGTTTTGAGAATGCCCCATCTTCCCTTATTTTTGCATCAAAAGTTGAATATAAAGGTAGGAGTTCAGTGAAGTATCAATGCTGGCATATACCCCTAGCTCTAGTGGGGAACCAGTTAAGTATTCCTAAAGATTTTATGATCCTGTGCAGGAATGGCTCTCAGAAGTATTTTTGATGATGTTACTTTTTAATCAGATGGGGTTTTTTTAGATGTATTGCTCAAGGCAGGCAAAAGGCACAAGAGAGAGGTGAAAGTCTGTGATGAGCTGTGTGATAATTGAACTGCTTTGTTTACAGGAGGGGAAATACAAGCGGGCAGCATTACAGTATAAGAAGATTGTGTCATGGCTGGAGCACGAGTCGGGACTCTCCGAGGAGGAGGAATCAAAAGCCAAGAGCCTGAGGCTTGCTGCCCACCTTAACTTAGCTATGTGCCATCTCAAGCTCAAGGAATACTCCCAGGCTTTGGAGAACTGCAACAAGGTAGTAGGAGTTCATTTATTAAACTGCACAAGCAGTCTGATAGTTTGTCTTGCTTTAAACATTTTAGGGACAACAGGCCAATGCAGTGTTTAGTCTTTCTTACCAGATGGCATTTGGGTAGTACTAAATTTTTAATGCAATAAAAATATCCAACAGACTATTTTCATAATTAGTGCCCTTTGAACATCTTTTACTAACTTGCTGCTACACTGAGAATATGCAAGTATTTAGAAATAAGAAACACTTGAGATGTGTTAAAGGTAGTTATGTTGGCAAAGGCCTTTCAAAGAGCAGGATTACTTTCTGACTAAATCTTAGACTTGCTGGTTCTCTTCTCAAATAGCCTACTATATTCATTCCTCTTTATACTTCTACTGTATTCCACTGACTTTATTAGTAAGCCCTGACAAGACTCATAAGGCTACATCAGAAGGTACAGTTCCTAGCAGTTGCTGGTGTTCTGACTACATATCATTTTTATAAAAGAAAAATAATTACTGAATGTGGTTTTGGTTTTTTTGAATGCAGGCACTCGAATTGGATAGCAACAATGAAAAAGGCCTTTTCCGGCGTGGAGAAGCTCACTTGGCTGTCAATGACTTTGAGTTGGCCCGAGCAGATTTCCAGAAAGTGATACAGCTTTATCCAAGTAACAAAGCTGCTAAAGTGCAACTGGTGACTTGTCAGCAAAAAATACGGGAGCAGCATGAGAAGGAGAAAAAGATGTATGCCAACATGTTCCAAAGGCTGGCAGACAAAGACTTAAAGGTAAGTAACACTACTCTGAACATTACAGGAGGTGGTGTCATGTGTTACACGAGGAACAGTGGTTTAGGTACTCAGTTTGCTTCTTATTACAGATAATTACAGCAGGAGAACACTCAGGTAGTCTACTTTGGGGAGCAAGGATGGAATTCAAAATACAGTCAAAATTATTGGGCCATCTTGCTTGAACAGGAAAACCAGCAGTATCTACCATTGCAGAGAAAGCTTTCACCTATTTCAACTGAATTTGCTACAGACCAGTGTTAATCAGAAGGCAGTTGAAGTGATGAGATAGATGTAAACGCAGCAATGTTCTAGAAGTGGAGAAAGCACTTACTCCTCTAGAGCCTGTTGTAAAGAGCAGGCTGTTCTGGTGCCTGGGGTACCCATCTAGTGAGAAATTGTGTCTGTCATACAGAGGGTGCTGAGCTCCATCTTGCTTCTCATGTAGACGTTAGGATGCGGTTGATGGTCTTCATTACAGATATCACACAGATTGTGAAATGTCAGAAGATGGATTATTCTGCTGTATGGATGGTTTTCCTAATAAGCTTTCACTAGAATTTTAGTAAATACTGGTTCAGTTAATATTGGCAGTATGTGAATACAGGTTATAACAAGATTGTATTAGCTACCAAGAAATATTTCAGGTTACTGGTGGGAATCATATATCCTAAGAAAACCTTCTGGTTCTTTTCCTTAAATCTGATGGTCTAGAAGGACATGATGGACCTGTAACTTCTCAGACAACTCTGGGATTTATGTCAGACTCATAAATTTCCTCAGTAACAGTGGGGAGTACAGAAGCTTGTATCTTGGGAGGTTATTTTCACCTTTCCATAATATGCATGAAGAACATAAAGAATTACCAGATATTGGTACATTAATCTCCTTTGGTTAACTGTGTAATTCAGTCTTTCCAGATGCATGATGTCCTCAGATGAGTGTATCCTGACAGTTCAGCCATTTCAGACTGTCGGTTGACAATTTCCTACATGAAATAACTTTACTCTGTCTCTTCTCTTTTTGGCTAAGGCAGCTTGATGTCAACAGTCCTTGTGTATTGGTGCTTAGAAGAAAGTATTCTGTCCTTCTAGACACAGTGATGTAAAGTAACACAGTATGTTAATTTTGGTAGGCTTTAATAAAAAAATCTCAAGACTATAAAGATACAGCAACTAAAGTAGAATTATTTCACAGTTAGGCATCTTCACTTCTGAAATGGCAGGATGTAGTTGTCAGCTGTCTGGCTCTGTTGTGAAGGATCCTTTCAGCTAGCACAGCTGCTGGGAATCTGGCTTCCTCCACTAGGTGTGGGATACAGCAAGATCTGTTAATAGGAAGAGTGGATTGCTGAAACAAGCTATACCCACTAAAACTTTAAAAGCCTTGAGCTTTCTTCAACTCCTAAGACACGTAATTGGTAGAGTAATATTTTTTGCAAAAGGTAGACTCATAGTCTTTGCACTGCAGACTGTTTGGATGTTGGAAAAACATGGCACTTAGTCCCAGTTTCCCTATCTGCTTGGGATAGCATCAGTTTAAAGTTGTAGAATCCTTTAGGTTGGACTCCAGCGAAATGTAAATGAAAGATTATTGTTTGGCATCTAACACTGGACACAGGATTTGAGGTATGGCCTCACCATAGTACAAGAGGACAATCCTTGCCCTGATCCTGCTGGACACACTATTGCTGATACAGGCCTGTATGCCGCTGGCCTGGTGAATTCTTCCCAACAAGTTAGATGATCTTGGGAATGTGCAGTGTGCTGGGCTTTTTCCTCTGAGCCATCTGGCCTGCCTTAAATGGATATGGTCTTATATGAAATGGGATTGATAGAACTATAAACTGTAAAGGATGCTTACTCCTTGGGCCAGTCTTGAGGTAGTTTTCTTTCAAGAAAAGCTTGTTTTCCTCTTACTGCATGTATAATGTTGCTTTACTCTAGCCCCAACAGTTTCTGTTAGTGGTGGTGTAGTAGAAGTTCAAAGTTCTGGAGAAGAGAGTTTGTTTACTAAATGTCTTCTGATTGCTTGAAGATAGCTTGGACTGCAGTTCTGATGTTCCTGGCACAGACTGTTAAATTCAACAGCCACTCTTGCATCAGTAGTTTGTTTCATTAATTTGAAAAGTTCACATATGTAAAGTGTGAATTTTTAAATATTAGTATGTTTATCACCTTACCTTAAACCCAGGATTGGTAGCTAACAGATTTTCTGTGGAGAGAAGACTTAACTCTTGGAATGCTTCTAAAGATGAAAAATCTATCTTTCATGCATGAATGTTCTTTTAAATGTGGGTTTGTGTTGCAGCCAACTTGGTGTAAGATTTTAAGGATTCTACCCCTTTCCCCCCACCCCCATTCTGCTCTCTAGCATTGCATGCTTAAGACTTTTCTTGGTTTTGTCTGGTTCTCATTTAAGAACTTCATAAAACAGATGGCTCAAGATTCTGGGCTGACTGGTAGAATAGCAATTTCATTGCACTAGGTTTTGAGATGAGCAAGCCAAGATAATTGTTGTCCAACAGAGATACTTATGCTGAGTGCAAGTGTGCCTCACACAAGTTGGGTCAGGGTAGGCCATGGGAATGGCTGAAAGTTTATGACATTAGTATTTGAGCAGGGCAAAAGCAGTTCCTGCAGAAGCTTGATAAATGAATTTCAGTTTAAAGACTTCTAAGAAATTGTTGTGTGGCAAGTGTGTGCAAGCCACATTAAGAATCATAACCACCAATACCAGTATTATATTTTAGCCTCCTCTCACTGCTTCTGGTTTCTTAGATGCATGAAAATTTTTGGTTTCTTTTGGCTGAAGATCCTAATATCTTAATTCAGTCTGGCAGGGTAGACAAGCTTTCCAAGTAATAAGAATCAAACAGTGTTTGTGCTAGCAATTTTGTATAACATATTAATATATTTTCTTTGTCTCTCTATTTAGTCATCTGCTACTCTTCAGACAAGCCACACTGAAGATGCAGAAATGAAAGACGCGCAGAATGGAGTTGAAGATAAATCAGAAGTTGAAGCAGAAGCATAAGAAAACCCCTATTCCATTAGTTTTGTAAATGAAAGAATTTCCAGTGAATTAGACCTTTATTTTTCTACCTGGTTGGATAGTGGCTTCAAGGGAGCAGAGGCTGAAGCCACCATGCCACAGTCAGTTACAGCTTTATGTGGCTGTTTAAGAAGCTGAGTGGCAGCATAAATCTGGTTTAATCCTAGTGACTTTATTTATTCATTCAGCCTCTGTTACTATTTGGGTTCTGTCTGGATTTACTCTGCTTGGTTTATTTGCATTTTCTTAGAATCATAGAATGGCTTGAGTTGGAAGGGACCTCAAAGATCTTGTTCCACCCCCACCCCGCCCCCCACCATGGACAGGGACACCCTTCACTAGACCAGATTGCTCAGAGTTCCATCCAGCCTGGTCTGGGATATTTCCGGGGATGGAGCATCTACAGCTTCTCTGGGCAGCCTGTTCCAGTGCCTCACCACCCTCAGAATAGAGAATTTCATTCTAATATGTAATTTTAACCTGGCCTCTTTCAGTTTGAAGCCACCCACCTTTGTGCTGTCACTACTTGCCCTTGTAAATAGTCTCTCTCCATGTTTCTTGTAGGTTCCCTTTAAGGTACTGGAAGGCCACAGTTTGGTCACCCCAAAGCCTTCTTTTTTCCAGGCTGAACAATTCCAGTTTTCTCAGCCTTGTCTCATAGGGAAAGATGCTTCATCCCTCTGATCATCTTGGTAGGCCTCCTGGACTTGCTCCAAAAGGTCGATGTCCTTCCTGTGTTGGGGACCCCAGAGGGGTGTTCCAGCTGGGGTCTCATCAGAGTAGGGTCAAAATCCTCTCCCTCCCCTGCTGCCCACGCTGCTTTGGATGCAGCCCAGGTTACAATTGGCTTCTGGGCTGTGAGTGCACATTGCCAGCTCATGTCCAGCCTCTCATCCAACAGCAGTCCCAAATCCTTGGCAGAGCTGCTCTGGATCTGTTCATCCCCCAGCCTTTATTGGCACCAGGGGTTGCCCCAGCCCAGGCACAGCACCTTGCACTTGGCCTTATTGAAGCCTCATGAGTTTCACAGGGGCCCACTTCTGAGGCTGGTCCAGGTTGCTCTGGGTGCCATTCTGTCCTTCAGGTGTGTCAAGGGGGCTGCTCAGCTTGGTGTCACATGCAGATTTGCTGAGGGTGCACACTACCCCTTCATCCATGTCATGAATGAAGATGATGGTAACACTGGTCCCAGTATGGACCCTTTAGGGACACCACTTGTCACTGGTGTCCATTGGGATGCTGAGCTGTTGACCACTAGCCTGTAGATGTGACCATGAGTGTTGGGGAAGATGAAATAGGAAAGCCTTATATATATAATTGCCTGGCAAAAGACTTAGAAAATACAGAGATTGAGATGGTAACACGTTTTGAGATACCAGACCTTAGTTACTGAACAACTAGAAAACAACAGTACATCCAGGATTAAGACAATCCCCCCTTCTGGTTGAACAATGCCCTTACCTACAGATAGGCCCAAAGGTTAAATTGAATGTTCTGTCTTACCCCCAATTTTATGGTTCATCCCCCATCTGTAACCCTCCCCTGAAGTATCTGGTATCTGTGACCCCATTGGCCTAAGTCTTGTTCCAGCCCACCTTGAAGACCCCTGATACGGAGTCCCTGAGGAGCCAGACGCTCTCTTGGAACTTCCCCTCTCTTGGAACATCCTCTCCCTCTTGGGATCCTCTCTTATCTCCCTCTACCCCTTGCCTCTCCCTTCCCCCACTCCCTAGGGCCTGCCACGTGTCGCGTCTGGTGACTCCAAGCAGGGCCTTTCACCCTCTCTAATAAACCATATATTCTAAGAGCAGCCTTCAGAGATCTCTCATCTCCATTCATTCCAACTGTCCTGGAGTCCAGCGTCCTTACACATGCAACCAATTTCTTAGCTATCAGTCACACCCACTGCATCCATCTCTGTCCAATTTAGAGAGAAGGATGTTGTGGGGAACTGTGTCTAAGGCAGAAAATTACAGAAATGAAGGTAAATGACACCTGTAGTCCTTCCTCGTCCACTGGTGGAGTCCCTCCATCATTGAAGGCCACTAGGCTGCTCAGATGGGACTTGTCCTTGGTGAAGCCTTGCTGGCTGTCCCTGGTCACGTCCCTGTCCTCCATGTGCCTTAGCATAGCATCCAGGAGGATCTGTTCCATGATCTTCCCAGGCACAGAGCTGAGGCTGACAGGTCACTAGTCCCTGTTTTGTCATCGGTGTTTTTCTTTCTGGTTCTGCCTTACTTTAATCCCAGGTTCTGCTTTCTACATTTAATTTCCTCAATTTGCTTCAAGTAATCAGCTTTTCTCAGGAGTCCTCATGTGAAACTTAAGAACAAATTTGTGCTCCCAGTTCTGCCTTGGGATTGCCCTCTTCTCCCCCTGTTCAGTAGGGAGTCCCTTCCATTAAGTATTGTAGCCTTTCTTGTATGCCTCCTCTTTGCAAATTGCTGAAAGGTGAAGACTATGAAGTCACAGCTTAAGTAATAAAGCTCCAATTAAACTCAAGAAAACTCAACTTTTCGTGGGTTTTTATTGGAATTTGCACAGAATTGAGAGAATATACTGTCCTTTGGTCAGTGTTATCTTGTCCACATAGCCAGTGTCCTGATTATTTTTTTTATATTGTTTGTTCATTACCATAGCAAATTCCCACAATATTTGATACAGTATTTACCCATATATATTCAAAAGGGAAAAATTAAGTTGCTGGAAACTGCATAAAGCAAGTCTGTAACCTATACATAGAGGTTGTTATATGTTCATATTGCTACCTTCCTCTTCACTCCACTACAATGTAAAACTGGACCAGAGGGGGGAAAAAACCCAAACCAATACATCTGAGAGTGACTGGCTTTGAAGTGATAATGGCTTACATATTGCAAATACTTTTAATGAACTACAGACTCCTGAGTGAGTCTAACGTCTGCTTACCCAGATTTCACAAGAAAGCTATTACTCAGTATTCTGCTTCTTTCTGCAGTTTGTGTGTCTTGTTTGGGGGTGGGTGTGCTTTTGAATTTTGTCGGGGCTTTTGGTTGGGGTGGGCTTTTTTTGTCTGAAGGCATGGAACATAGTACTCAAACTCAATTGTTGTTTATCCTATTATGTGGTGTTTAATTCAGCAACTCCAGTGTCCTGTTTAGAGACAGGGGCAGAAGGGGCAATCTTTTTTGCCTGCTCTGCAGAAGAAAGGTAGAAAATCTGTTTCAGATTAAAATAAATTGACTTTTTCATGTTGAGAAAGATGTCCTTGCATGGCATGACACGGGCTGGAATTTGTGTTTATATTGCAGAGAGCATCCCTGTTTTTAACATGTAATACAATGTGAATTCCTGGTTTCCTTTGGTGAAACAGAAGTACTGTGTAAGCACTTAAACTCGTGGGGTCTGGGGGAGTGCCAGCACCTTTCCTGCAGCAGTGCCAGCCCAGTGTGGGTCCTGGAACTGTCACCAGACAAGGGCTGCTTGGAGTGCTGCCCTGCCCGAGACACCAAATTGAGCACCTGCTGCTGGCTTGGAGCTTGGTTAGAGAGCTGGGAGCTGCAGTGCTCTTAATCTCATGCGGTGTGTGGGATAGGACAGAGGTAAAAGAGATACTTGGGAGGTCACTACACTTAAGGAAATGCTGATTTCTTTTGCCTAATAAAGCCTTAGGGTTGCCAGGTAATGGAGGTGATTTTCATGAGCTCTGACTATAGTAACAGCCCTATGTATGTGAAAAATTTATACCAAAGCACTACCCCCTCTTGTGGGAAACAACACTGTGAATGTCAGCTGGGGTTAGAAGAGGGGATTTATAGACCTAGACAAACAGTTGAAGGGGACAGGAATGCCAAGCCAGAGTACTTATTCTTCACCAAGTAAATACCTTGATTTGTTGCTAATTATTCCTGGAAATACAAGCCTCTGTGGCTGAAACTTTTTGCTGCTAAAGCATAGGGCCAAGTCCTAATGATAATTTTCTAATTGTTGAACAGCAGTTTTCAAAATCTACAGGCATGATAGTTGTACATGTTTCTGAAAGCAAAAAGTGATTTCTGTGGCACATCTAAAAAAAGTCTAGTCAATGGTGCATCTGTTGTTAAGTGTGAGCAGTCTTGAAAGTACCACTGTGCCCTTGTTGTTACTACATAAACTATGAATTGTTTGAGAATGTAAGTCTGTTAAGGACGCTAAACATGCCCAGTTCAGGCAGCTGATCGGATTTTCCGTGCTGTCTTTAAAAGTGGCTCTGGTTGCCGTCAGAAGGTGTCAATACTGGTATTTGTGAGTGAGGTCATGCATGTAAACTTCAACTATAAACTTCGTTATGTATGTCCTTATAGAGGAACGAAAAAAACCAAACAATGCTTAAAATAAACAGTTACAGTCCTGACTTTGTAATCCTCACCCGTGTGTGTGCGTGTGTGATCCTTTCCGGTGCGCGGCGGCGCCGGGGGCGGGGGCAGCGGGCGGGCCCTGCCGCGCTCCGCCCCGCTCCGCCATTCCTGGCCCCGCTCCGCCATTCCCGGGCCCGCTCCGCCATTCCTGGCCCCGCTCCGCCATTCCCGGCCCCGGGCTGGCCCTCTCCGCGCCGGGATGCGCTCTGTCAGCTACGTGCAGTGCGTGGCGCTGGACTTCGCGGGCAGCCTCTTCCCGCACGCCATCTGCCTGGGGGACGCCGACAACGACTCGGTCCGAGCCCGGAGCCCGGGGCGGGGCGGCGGGCCCGGCTGGGGGAGCCCGCGGGGCCGCCTCGGGGACACACACGGGGCTGAGGGGAGCGGCTGCTGCGGGAGCCGGGGACGCACACGGGGCTGAGGGGAGCGGCTGCTGCGGCCCCGGGGACACACACGGGGCTGAGGGGAGCGGCGGGCGGCTGCTGCGGCCCCGGGGACACACACGGTGCTGAGGGGAGCGGCTGCTGCGGCCCCGGGGACACACACGGGGCTGAGGGGAGCGGCTGCTGCGGGACCCGGGGACACACACGGGGCTGAGGGGAAGCGGCTGCTGCGGCCCCGGGGACACACACGGGGCTGAGGGAAGCGGCTGCTGCGGCCCCGGGGACACACACGGGGCTGAGGGAAGCGGCTGCTGCGGGCCCCGGGGACACACACGGGGCTGAGGGGAGCGGCTGCTGCGGGACCCGGGGACACACACGGGGCTGAGGGAAGCGGCGGGCGGCTGCTGCGGGCCCCGGGGACACACACGGGGCTGAGGGGAGCGGCTGCTGCGGGACCCGGGGACACACACGGGGCTTGGCGGGCGGGGCTTTGGACAACCCCCCCGGGAGTTCCCCTGAGCAGGAAATGTTTGCTGGGCTGCCGCGGGTCAGGGCTTCCCTCGCCATTACACGTGGCCCGGCTGGTGCACAGCCCGAGGGGAGCTTCACTTTGCTTAATAGACACTCACCTGTCGCAGCGCTGGGGTGTAGGGGTGCTCTGCAGATCGCAAACAGGGTAGAGCCAAGTGTCGGTGCCTCTTGACCCGTGTGATGGATGGATGTGCGTTGGGAGTGGTGCTGTGAGCCCCTGAAGTGGTTGGTTTTGATTTGTCTAACTAGGAAGAGGTTAGCTAAACCAGCTATATGTCAACTGTTTGTCCTCAATAGCCTTATCCTGGAAAATGTCATGGCTAGCAATGTCGTAGATGATTAAAGAGATTTCCCTATAAAAAGTTGTTCTGTAGGGTAAGGTGTGCAGGGGGTTATGAAATGCACACCATTTAAACACATAGAGAAGTACGATGCAGGAGATAGGATAATGGGAGTAGGCTCATCAGCATGGGTGGTTGGTGATTTTTAGAAATCTTCCTTAAAGAAATAATCACCATTCTGAAATCCCTTTACCCCTTCAGCAGTGAAACTGAGCATCATGTGTAAATCTGTTGAGTTCTTGCATTCTCTTCCTGGATGGTTATATTTTTATCATTGTCATTGTCGTCATCTTCCTCATATGATTCAAGTCACTCTAGATTGAAGGATGGAAGATGGAGTAATGATGTTTGTTTCAACATCCAAACAGGATGTTAAAACAGTCACTGACACAGCTCTGAAACAATGAGTGGAGAAGCAGTGGGTAATAGGATGTTGCTCTAAGGAGCCATTCCCCATCTCTTTTATTTTCAAGAATAAAATTAAGGCTTTTATATTTTCCCAGACCTTCCATTTTGACTCAAGATTGTCTGTTTAACTAATTTTATTTTGCTGTTTCTTCCCACAGAGTGATTTTTGGATATGAATTCTGAAATTTTTGCTGTTAATGCAATTGTGGATTTCTCTCTACTAACCCAATTTTCTTGTACAGCTGAATGAACTTGTGGTGGGAGACACCAATGGAAAGCTCTATGTTTACAAGAATGATGATAGCAAGCCCTGGGCTGTGCGATCTTGCCAAGGAATGGTCAGTTCTTGACAAGTTTTCTAAATGGTTGGGCCTTTTGGTGTATGTGCAGCCAGCTATCCTTGTCCTTTACCTAGGAATATGTAGGCTGGAAAGGAATGGCAGCCAGAACTGATTCTGATGTCTTTTGTGTAATTATTCAAGATCCCACTTTTGCCTACAGCCCCTTGGGCTGGAAGTGATGAGCAAATTAATGGACAAACAGATTGGACATTATTAATTGGACATTAATGGAGAAACATAGAAACTGGGCTTCTGTCCCACCTTTACCCTGCTCTGTGCACTGTGGGATTTGCCCCAGGGCTCTGGCCAGTTGTGTTTTTGTCCCTTGGCTTTGCCATCCTTGTCCTTCAAAAGGCTGTTAGGAGTTCAAGAGATGCTTTATGGGAGGGGAGGGGAGGGGGTATGGCAGAGCTGTATCCCAGGGTGCTGGGTTGGTTTGCCTTTTCTCATGGATGGCCTTGTTTTCTTTTGCAGCTCACATGTGTCCGTGTGGGAGATGTGTGCAATAAAGGAAAGGTGAGAAGAGCCAAACTCTTACCAGCTGTGTCTGTAGGGCATGTGGGAGGTGTTCAGGAGATTAGGGTCATGTCATGTGCTGAGTGTGGGGGAGGACACATGGTAGGTGCTGTCTCTCCAGGGTCTGCCTTTGCTCATAGGGTTTTAGCACCTGTGTTTTTAAACTGTTCTTCTGTTTATATATAACTGGCATTTTTTTTGTGAGCCTTATGTGGGTTTTAGAGAGCAAGGAAATCCATCTTATCTTCAGAGAGCACTTTTGATTTCCATGTGCCCTTATGAGAGCCCCACAAGGCTTTGGTGTTTTGAGGGTTGCTCCATTTGCTCAATGACTTTTGCCTTCCTTGGTCCTTCTTCCACTTGGCTGTGTGCATTTAAGGTCATCTAAACAAGACTGAGACATGGAATAGTCTGGACTCCCATGAAAATTCCACTGGGTCTACTATGACTCCTTTTGTTGGATCGCTGTTCCTGGGGGTTAAGCCAGGACCAATGAGTCCAAAGGTCCCAGTTCAGGCACTCTGCCCAAAATACTGTAGCTGTGTTTCCTCTAGTGGGGAGCAGAACTGATGTGGGCATTGAGAAAGCCACACATTGTTTGAGGATTGCACACATATCTGCTTGATACTGTAGTCTGACAAAGATGAACAAGAAGTTTGGACTCTGCCAGTAGCAGAGAAGTTTGTGTGCTGGCCAAAAACCTCCTGTTCTCCCTGTAGAAGTCATTGATCTTGATCGATCTACCCTTGTGTCTTCCTTTGCCCTGCTGTGGGACAGCTTCTGCAGTTTCTAAAAGAGGAAGAATCAAAAGGTCCTTCTCTTCCCTTACAGAATTTCGTGGTGGCTGTGAGTGCAGAAGGCTGGTTTCATCTTTTTGACCTGACTTCTCTGAATTCAAAACACCCAGATGCTTCAGGCCACCATGAGTTGGCAGGGGCAGAAGAGCAGAAGCCCGTGTTCAAGCAGCACATTCCTGCCAACACCAAGGTCATGCTCATCAATGACATTGGTGAGCCACAGAGATGGTGTGGGAATGCAGGGTGAAGGAGTTTGTGTGTGAGGCAGTGGGGAGAGAAGGTTGGGGGTACATGCAGAAGCAAATTACTTGCTGAAACTGACACTTCAACAAACCACAGCTAAGTCATGGAAGGGAGAAACAAGAACTTCAGAATTTTTCTGAAGTGAAAGTTTCCATTATGGTTGGGGTCCTCAGGGATGCTAACTATAGAGATCAGCAGAGTGGTTTCTGCATTTTTAGGCTCTTGGGGCTTGAAAGAGTCCGGCTGTCTTTTGCTCTTCCCTGCAGATGGAGATGGGAAGTGTGAGTTGGTTGTGGGTTACACTGACAGGGTGGTCCGTGCCTTCCGCTGGGAGGATTCATCAGAGAATCCAGACCATGTCTCTGGGCAGTTGATCCTGTTGAAGAAATGGCTTCTAGAAGGTCAGGTAAGGAAAAAGGATGTTCAGAGCAGTACTTGTCATACATTGTTCAAGAGGTGGCTTTTTAAAGAGAAGAAGCACAGAATCTCAGTCCAATGAACAAAACAATTGTCATGTTGATGACTTGAGAGGAGATTTGCCCAGTGATTTTTCTGTATAGCTGGTAGTTGGTCTGAGAAGCAGGTGCTCTTGCCCGATGAGAGAGCATAAGCGGGAAGTACCAGTGTTGTTCTAAAGTGGCTTTTGGTAGGGAACCAACCTTTTACTGAGCTTGGATGTTTTGCTTCCAGCTGAATTTGTTCAGCTGCTGCTCAGCTCTATCAGAGGATTTGCCATATTCAAATTTAGTTGCAGGGAGCACTGTAAACCTTTTGGAGTTCTTGACTCTATCCATGTTTTTCCTCTGCCACTGTAGGTGGACAGCCTATCTGTGAACCCAGGCCCTGATGGGTCACCAGAGCTGATGGTGTCACAGCCAGGCTGTGGCTATGCCATCCTGCTGTGCACCTGGGACACGGAGCAGCGGGATGCAGCTGCGGGAAGGGATGGATCTGCCCCAAGCAGGTGAGGGTGTTTCTGCAGGGGTACATGAGCACTTGCCACTATGGATGCCTGTTAAAAGGGAGTGCCACCATGTCATTCTTGCAAAGCAAGGGGCCTGTCACTGTCCTTGCTTCAGTGACCTGCTGTGCTGCTGGCACCTCATCACTTAAGCCTGCCTACACCCAAGCTTCCATGAACTCTCTTCATGTCTCTGTCATGAGGATGAATACTGCTGCTTTCCTTGTGTCTCACTCTCTTGAATTGGGCAAGGAGAGTGGCAAAACCAGCTCCCTGAGGGTTCCTCACTACTGGGAGCTAAAGTAGGGAAATGAGTGACATAGATTTCCAGGGAAAGGTCATCAAATTGCAGGTTAATAGCTGAGAGACTGGGCCAAACCAAATACCTCTGAAGCCCAGGATAAGATTGGGCTCATTCTCTTGTTTTCTGCAGATGAGACAATTAGAAGTTTTTCTAATGAGACCCCTGGCATCTAATACTGTAAATCA